ACCAAGGAAGTGACTAGTGAGCATCGGGGATGCTGTTTTTACTGTTTGTGTTAGAAGTTGGCCGTTTATCCCAGACTTTAGCCTCCGGGAACTGTGGCTTACTCCATCTGTAGGATGGGGCTAATTTACCTTCCAGAGCTCCAGTAAGGGCTGGGAAGGTGTCTGCTTAGTTAGAGGCACAGCATCTGCTCATCGTGTGAGGGAGAGTTCAGAGGTTGGATTACTGCTGGCCACATACATGCCTGTAATCCTGATACTTTAGAAGAATCTAGAGTATTAGTCCAGCCTTGGTGACATATTGGGACCCTCTTGAGGCACACCCATACATGTAGAAAGAGGGGGAAAGGGAGGGAGGGGAAGAAAATAATCAGATATGGTCATGGGAAGAAGCCCTGGCTCTTAGAGGGGTCCTAGGCCAGGGCTCTTGCTTGGTGGGCTGCGGATAGGGAAAAGCAGGCAGGATAACTCAGGGAGCTTCCTGGCTGGGTCTAGAGCACTCTGTGTGTGTGGCTCAGGCACAAGAGTAAGAAGAAAGCCTTTACCAAAGCCTGCAAGAGGTGGCGAGACGCTGATGGCAAGAAGCAGCTGCAGAAAGACTTTGCTGCTATGAAGAAGTACTGCAAGGTCATTCGGGTCATTGTCCACACCCAGGTCAGCCCAGCCCCCACCTTCAGCCCATTCAACCATTGGGTGCCTTCCCCATCCTCCACCTCCTAAATGAAGAGCCCAAGAAATGTCAGCTTAAAAATAGCACCAGCCCTGGGAACAGGCTCAAGATGTGGCTAGCTACCTCACAAGCCATTCTTGTCCCAGAGTTGAGAGATCACTGGCCTGTGATGTTATATGTCACTGTCATCAACAGCTACAGTGCCCCACGGACGACTCAGGCCCCCAAATGTCCTGAAAGGCTTGAGTCTCCAGCCAAAAGTCTAGCATGGAGAACTGGCTGTACCTAGGGTCCAGCTTGATGTTGACTCAATGTAACCAGAACACTCATTCTGGAATATTCTTAGGCATCTTGTCTTTGGGGAAGTGTTCTCCAGGCAACCCTGTCCCCACTCCTCTCTGGCACCTCTCCCTGCCCTCTGAACACAGGCTTGTTACTCTCACTTGCTGCTCATGGGTAAGCAAGTCAGTGCATGATGGTCATCAGCGTGACCTCCGTGTAGTCACACCCATCTGATTCCTGGCGGGCCTCAGGACTTACCACAAGCCTAGCATACAGCAGGAACTCTACACATACTTATTGGACACAACGCTGCGATCTAACTGGTCTGTTTTCACCTGCATGTCCTCTTAGCAGCCAGAGCCCTGTTGGATGGTCTAGTTAGCAACCTACACTTGGAAAAATGTTGGAGCCCATTCCTGTAGGTACCTGACTTTGACATCTTCCAGTTCCCATCTGGCCAGACTAAAGTCTTCTCTGTTCCACTTAAGTCTTCCCCGACACAGGGCCTTTTCACATGCTGCTTGCTTCCTCTGTCATAAACTCACTCAGATCTTTGTCTAGTGAGTTTGTTGCTGTTATTGGTCACTTCCTCAGAGAGTCCCTCCCTGACCAGTCCACCTGAAGTGCTGCCTGTAGCCCATCAGAACACTGAGCCCCACCCCAAGAGGTCACTTGGCTTTTATCTGGTAGTAGACTGTGTAGACAGTGGGACTCCCAGAGATGTGAGGTGCTGTCTGCCTCAGTCTGTGCTGTACATCCAGCACCCAGCACATGGCAGGAGTTCAGTAATGTCCGTTGATAAGCACAGGTGGGGAAAACTTCAGGTTACCAGTGGGCGAACCATCTGCAGGTGTGTGGGGATTGTGAACTGATGTTCCTTCTGTCTCTCGCAGATGAAGCTGCTGCCCTTTCGACAGAAGAAGGCCCACATCATGGAGATCCAGCTGAATGGTGGCACCGTGGCTGAGAAGGTGGCGTGGGCTCAGGCACGGTTGGAGAAGCAGGTGCCTGTACACAGTGTGTTCAGCCAGAGTGAGGTTATTGATGTCATTGCTGTCACGAAGGGCCGGGGTGTTAAAGGTAGGGCCTGGTAGAGATAGTGCCTCCAGGAAAACTGGTTAGTGGGTTGGAATAACCTCTGAGCCCCCAGCTTTTCCCATCTACAGGGGTCACCAGTCGCTGGCATACCAAGAAGCTTCCAAGGAAGACCCACAAAGGCCTGCGCAAGGTGGCCTGCATTGGTGCCTGGCACCCTGCCCGAGTAGGCTGCTCCATAGCCCGGGCTGGGCAGAAGGGTTACCACCACCGAACAGAGCTGAACAAGAAGGTGTGTCCTTAATTCTGAGTGCTCTCTAGCAGGACAGCATGACTCAAACATGGATTGGGTTCATGAAATATTACAAGTTCCAGAGTCTGAGCATGTGCTCTGAGCATGTGTGCTGAGCGTGCGTCTGGCCATGTTCCTAGCCCCAGATCCTACCTCTGGTCCATACTGTTCTGTTTTCCTGCTAGATCTACCGAATTGGCCGGGGGCTGCACATGGAAGACGGGAAGATGGTCAGAAACAATGCATCTACCAGCTATGATGTAACCGACAAGTCTATCACACCCCTGGTGAGAGCCTGGCCAGGCTGCCAAATGGCATCTGATGGGGGTCAGGGGACAGGTGCTGGGTCCATTTGGGTGTTACCCTGCTGAAGAGCTCCATGTGTTTTCTACAACTGGATGTTGTCCCCCACACAGACTAGGCCCCAGGTCCTGGCAGGAGGGAGGTGATGGGATATGCCAGTGAGCACACACTTGGAAGCCTCAGTCCTCATCTGCTCCTGTACCCTCATAACCTCTGTGAGGAGCTTACACTCTGTCCATGGAGTATGGGAGCCCAGGAACCAGCCTAGGGCCAAAAGGAAATAGCCATGGAGCCTGAAGCATGTGTCTACTTTTTTTTTTTTTTAAAATATGTACAGCATTTCATGTAGCCCAGGTTGGCTTCCAGCTCCCTATAAGGCTGAGGATGACCTTGAAAATCCTCCTTTTCTTTTCCTTTTTTTTTTTAAAAAGAAAGATTTATTTATTATGTTTTTAGTGTTCTGCCAAAAGACTTACTATGTATAGTTTTCTGCCTATATGTATGCCTGCAGGCCAGAAGAGGGCACCAGATTACATTACAGATGGTTGTGAGCCACCATGTGGTTGCTGAGAATTGAACTCAGGAAAAACAGTCAGTGGTCTTAACCACTGAGCCATCTTTCTAGCCTCTGGTCCTCCTTTTCCTACCATCTGAGTGCTGAGAGCTTATGCCGTGGCACCTTCCTGTCTTGTTTTTATGTGTGGGACTGGCTGTCCTGGAACTTGCTTTGTAGACCAGGCTGGCCTCAAACTCAAACGATCCTCCATCCTCTGCCTCCCCAGTGCTGAGATTAAAGGTGTGTGTCACCACCACTCAGCTAAAATCGGTTTGTAAAGTGGTGCTCGGGATTGAACACAGGGTCTCATGCATGCTAGTCTAGAATTCTTCAAACTGAGCTATCTAATCAGGGACTCACTGGTACCTGAGCTGGCCGTCAACTCAAAGCAATCTCATATCACCGTCTCAAGTGCTGGATTTACAGGTGTACACCACCGTGCTCAGCAACCCCAAAATTCTGAGCGTCAATGTCCCCACAAAAAGGCTTATTGTTAAATGAAATGACACAGGAAAAATGCAGTGGAGATGTTACTGCCCCCTGATGAGTGATCCAGTGTGAGAGTACTCTCCCTGCACCCTGAGGTCTGGGCGTAGGGCTTCTTCCCATCCCAGCCTCCTAACCTGGCTGCCCTGTTCCTGGCTTGGTGTGGTCTGTCTCCCTGTAGGGTGGCTTCCCCCATTATGGGGAAGTGAACAATGACTTCGTCATGTTAAAGGGCTGCATTGCAGGTACCAAGAAGCGGGTGATCACACTGAGGAAGGTCAGTGCCGCATGTCGGGCTGGGGAGTGGACTCCAGGAGCCTGTTCTGTCCTTCAGCCTGCTCTGTGGTGGGTTGTGCCTGTGGGAGAGTAAAGGAAGGGATCTGGCAAGAGCAAGTGATTGACCGAGTCCTCCTTGGTGTGAACTGGAGGTCACAGGAGGAGTTGGGCCCCTCTGTCCTTGACATCTCTTCTCTCTTGGATACCCAGTCCCTCCTGGTGCACCACAGCCGCAGGGCCCTGGAGAATATTGAGCTCAAATTCATTGACACCACTTCTAAGTTTGGCCATGGATGTTTCCAGACAGCTCAGGAGAAGAGGGCCTTTATGGTGAGCTAGTCCCACTTGTTCCAGAGAGGAACTAGAAGTGGGCTTTTAGCAGACCAGTAGAGAAGGCCCAGGGTAGCCCTGGTGCTGGTCGTAGGTAGTATTTCTTGACTGATTCTCCTAACACTCATCCTGTCTCCTCACTTTAACCAGGGTCCCCAAAAGAAACATCTGGAGAAAGAGAAGCCGGAGACCTCAGGAAATATATAAAGTGCCTGGAATAGAGCACACCTGGGATGGAGTGCTCCTGCTGTCTGTCCTGTCCTTTTAGTTTAATAAAGTCCCGAGGCAACTCTCTCTGTTTCTGTGTGTCTGTCTCTGCCTGTCTCTCTCCCACATCCCCCGGAGGCCTGATCCAGATCTTAAGCCTGGGTCAGAGGGTTAGGAGATCCAAAACGCGGGCGCAAGGTTTAGCGCCGTGTTAGAGAGGACTAGAGATATAGCTGGGTGGATGTGCCTCCACGCCAGCTGCCCAGTGGTATTAGCAGTAGCTATTACCATTGGCTAGTATCATTGCTATGCTTGTAGCCTAGTCGCTCTACTGGAGCTCCATCTGAAGAGGAAAGCTTCCTGGGAGCGGCTCTCTGGGCGGAGCCTTCTGGAGCGGAAGTGAGGACTCAATCCCTGGGTGAGTTTGGCTGGACCGGTGGAATTTAGGACCTTTACGAAAAGAGACTCGTTGAGGGCGGGGCTGCTAGAAGGCGGCTGTAGGGAATCCTGGAGTGACTGGTCTTCTCTATGGGCGGGGCTTACGGCGAACCGGAAAGTGATTGGTCATTAGAAAGGGTGGCTTTGAGTCCGGATCTCAGGGCTTTACGGGTCTTGGCTGGGAGCCTTTGCCTGTCCCGTCGCGATCATGTCGTTCTGCAGCTTCTTCGGAGGCGAAGTTTTCCAGAATCACTTCGAGCCAGGTACACCCTGAGGCATTAAAGCAGACATCACTTCCTGGGGAGCTATGGAGTTCCGGAACCAGAACTGGGCTATTGTGGTTGCTGAGGAGAAGCTTGGGGAAGAAGGACTTGGAGGAGGGGAGCTGTCTGGCCAGGGCATTCTGGGGCAGGAGGACTTGAGAAGAGAAGGGACTTTCCAGTAGTCTCTGTTCTCGAGGGGGTCAGGCCTTGAACTTCAATGTAGATCTCTCTGGGGGATTCTCTGGGCCAGATGCTTGGGTGGTTTCTGAGTGATCGGAACTTTGGAGCGGAGCGATGGTGGTATGTGGTCCAAGGTCAGCGTTGGAATTTGCCCTGGCTATGTTCCTTCCCCGGACTCACTTGGATGAGCGGGCAAGCAATACACTTTCTGTTCAGTCCCGAATGTGCTGTCCCAGGTGTCTCTCCGTCCTCTGGGTTGGTTGTCAGTGGGTTCTTGCCAGCATAAGTGACATTTGACCAGTACTGTAAGAGATTTTGCTTGCCCCCCTTCTTGCTGGGTTCTGCTGATCTGGACTAATTTGGTAAAAAATCTATGGCACTGGCGTCCCTGGGGCGGGATCTGTTGGATGTCAGTCCTCTAGAGGGCTGGGCTGTGACTCTGAGCACTTGTATGAGACAGTTGTGATATAGGGTTGCTGGGTAGAGGCCTCCCTTGAATTCTTCTTGGCTGTAGCTCTCCAGTTGCCTTCAGGCTGCCTGGGCAAGCTAGACACTCACTCGGTTTTGCTTCCTCTCCAGTTCCTGATACAGGCTGAATGAACAGTCCACACTCTAGGGTGTGTGTCTGCCCTCAAGTGATGGGTGACAGGATGATTCAGTACCCTGCAGGTTCCTGTTTCTAAGTCTTTCAAACAGTTACATAATTCTGTTTTGCAACCATACTAATGCCTTCCACTCATGTGATCTTTTTGGGACAGGTTGAAACCTTTCTTCCCAGATGTTGTTTTTCTCAGGTTCCCTATTTGGTGTGGAAGACTGTTCTGTAGGGCCAGAGAGCAGGGGCATGGCTGAGTATCCATGGGTATCCAAGACCATTGACTAGCAGAGATGCCCACTTGAGAGAGAGGACCAAATGGTTCCACTGGCAGTTAGGGGCCCTGGTGTGTGGAGTGTGTCCAGGGTAAAGGGAGGCTGTAATCATTTCTAGGGTTTTCTCTTAGCCACATACTCTATTGTGTGTCTGCAGTACTGGCTTTCCACCTTATGTTTGTAAGGGGAAATGTTAGCCACGTATGCTGGTTCACATCTGTAATCCCAGGGTATAGGAGGCTCAGGCAGGATTGCCTTAAATTTAAGGTCAGCCTGGATTACATAGTTTCAGGCTAGCCTGAGCTACAGTGTAAGACTTGGCCTCGTTTGCTTCTCTGTTGTGATAAAACACTGATCAAAACCCATCTGGGGAGGAAGGAGTTCCTTTCCATTTACAAGTTACTGGCCACCATGGAGAGAAACCAAGGTAAGAACCGGGAGGCAGGAACTGTTTACTGGTTTGCTGCTGTAGTTTGCTTCCTCTTTTTCAGCCTAGAACCACCTGCTCAGGGATGGCACCACCCACAGTGTGGTGGGCCCTCCCACATCAATCATTAACTAAGAAAATGTCCCAGTGGGGTGGCGATGGCACATGCCTTTAATCCCAGTACTTGGGATGCAGGAGCAGGTGGATGTCTGGGTTTGAGGCCAGCTAGTTCCAGGACAGCTATACACAAAGAAACCCTGTCTCAGAAAAGCAAGCAAGCAAACAAACAAACAAACAAGAAAAGAAAGATGTCCCCATAGACACACCCATAGACCAGGTTGATGTAGGCAAGTCCTCAGCCCTTCCTTCTTCCTGGGGAACTCTAGTTTGTTTCAAATTGACAAAAACTAATTGGCACAAGGTCCTGTGTCAAAACAAACAAACAAAAACAAAACAAAAGACCCCAGGGGACTGGAAATGGCTCAGTGTTAAGAGCATACTTTTCCAGAGGACCTGGGTTTCATTCCCAGCACCCACTTGATAGATTGTTTATTCCAGTCTCAGGGAATCCAACCCCTTCTGGTCTCTTCTGGTTTTTTTGTTTTGTTTGTTTTGTTTTTGTTTTTTTCAGATACCGTGTACATGAGCTACACAGGCAAAACAGCATATGCATAAAATAAAAACAAGTCTGTTAAAACACCCCCAAAACTAAATAATTACATGAAATTATTAAAGATTTCATATCACAGGGCCACTGAGAATAGATGAAATGAGCCCAAAGGGTGCTTCTGGTCTCCTGTAACTCAACCAGGCATTGCTAGGGGTTGTCTACCCCAGAGCTAATCAATGAGCTAGGAGTGGGGGATACATGGGGGTGGTGAGTGGTCTCCAACCACCATGGGCTCCGTGCTGGTAGTGTCATTTCTGGGTCCAAGGTCAAGGAAGTTTGGTCTAGATGGAGCGGGTCAGTGTGTCTGCTTTTGCTTGTCCTCGGCTACAGGTGTCTACGTGTGTGCCAAGTGCGGCTATGAGTTGTTCTCCAGTCACTCAAAGTACGCACACTCCTCCCCTTGGCCAGCATTCACTGAAACCATCCATGCAGACAGTGTGACCAAGTGCCCTGAGAAAAACCGACCGGAAGCTTTAAAGGTAGGTGTGACAGCCCTGGTGAGTGGTGTCCAGGAGTCTTGGAGCTAGTTATACCTTTCTTCCTTTGCCTCTTCATGAGATTATCCATCTTCAGCTGGGGTGGTGGTACCCCAAGATTTTTGTTGTTGTTGTTTGAGATGGGTTTCTCTGTGTGGCCCTTGCTGTCCTGGAACTCACTTTGTAGGGCAGGGTGGTCTTGAATTCAGAGATCCACCAGGCTCTGCCTCCTGACTGAGGGATTAAAGACATGAATTACCACACCTGCACCCCAAAGATTTAGAGTGCTCGTATTCTGAGAATGTGAACTTTAGGAGTGCTTCCCTGCAGCAGGCTCCACCCCTTGGGAAATGGGCAGGTGGTGGGAACACCTCCTATCTGCAGGAGACTGACTGACTGTGTTTGGGATTTCCCAGGTGTCCTGTGGCAAGTGTGGCAATGGGTTGGGCCACGAGTTCCTGAATGATGGCCCCAAGCGGGGGCAGTCACGATTCTGAATATTTAGCAGCTCACTGAAGTTCCTCCCTAAAGGTGAGCACCTTTAGCAGCTGGGGACACCCTGTCGTAAATGAGGAAGGTGTAGCAGGAGGCAGGCTATGTATGCTTATCTGTTGGCCATGTGAAATAAATACAGCCTGCAATGGCATCCAGAAAGCCAGCTGAAGGATAGGACCAGGCGGCAAATATCCAGGGTGTCTCATATGGGAACACCTTAGGGAGGGCGTGCGTGAGGTTTTCTCTGGAGGCCTGGCCTTTCCATGTGGCTGGAGTCTTGGGTTGGATGTAGGGCTAGATCAAGGCTGAGGATCTGGGCCATGTGACCAAAGGCTTTCTTCTGAACCCGAGCACCTGTCAGTCATCTTTTCAGTGGGTATGGCAGCATATCACATGGCTGCTGAGGACAACTGACTGTGATGTGGTCCCCTGGGGCCTAGCACATAGTAACAACTCAATAAAACAGCTCCTTTGTCAACCTTTTTAGTCGTGGTCAAGGGCTGTGGCCAGATGATCTGCAAAATGCAGCCTTCAAAAAACAGCTGCTGCTATTGCTTTACCGTGGTGTGAATAAGCAGTCTGGAATGGCCTGGAATGTTCTGTGTCTGGCAGAGGAGAAAGAGACTGTGGGTTCCCATGTAGATCTCATGAAATGAAGAACATGCAGCGTGCTTTGAGCTGGGTCCCTGTGCTGTTCTGCTGGCCTGGAGTCTGGATCATGAGGGTTTTTTTGTTTTTTGTTTCTTTTTTGTTTTTAACACTTCAGAAGAATTCCTTTTTTCCCCTTTATTTTTCTTTGATGTATATGGGCGTGGTGCCTGCCTGTATTTCTTGTGTACCATTTGTGTGCAGTTGCCTACGGAGCCAGAAGAGGGCACTGGGACTGAAGTTACAGATGGTTGTGAGCCACCATGTGGGTGCCGGGGATGTAACTGGGCCTCTGGAAGAGCAGCCAGCTTTCCAGCCCTCCCAAAAGTACATTTTAGTTTATTAGTGTCTTAGGGTATGTGCATGGTGCCGCATGTGGTTAACGTCAGAGGACCGTTTATGGGACTCTGTACTCGTCCTCTACTGTGTGGGTCCTGGGCATCAAGTTCAGGTTGCAAGGCTTGGTTGCCATGTGCCATTTACTCACTGAGGCATCTCCCAATCCATGGTTTTAGGTTTTTAGTTTGTTTGTCATTTTTGTTGTTGTTGTTGTTGTTTTGGTTTTGTTTTGTTTTTTGAGACAGGGTTTCTCTGTGTAGCCCTGGCTGCCCTAGAACTAGTTCTGTAGACCAGGCTGGCCTCCAACTCAGAGATCCTCCTGCCTCTGCCTCCCGTGTGGAAGGTCTCACTAGATCGCCCTGGTTGTCTTTGAACTCACAGAGATTTGCCTATCTCTGCCTCCTACTAGGCTTTAGTACTTTTGAGACTGGGTCTCTTCTCTAGCTCGGGGTGGCCTGGAACTTACCATACAGCACTTTCCGACCACTCCTCTCGGATCCCTTGCTTCAGCCTCAGCTGGGCTTACAGATAGGAGCCATCACACCCAACTGAAGCATAGGACTTAACCATGATGTGTTTTCTCTCCCTTCTCCTTCCCAGGCAAAGAAGCTCCTGCCCCCCAGGGGCACTAGGTAAGCAGCTTTCTTTCCCAGATGGGCATGCCCACTATCTGTCAGAACCGTGGGCATTCAGTCTGGGCAGCTGGGAGGAGGCGTTTGAAACACCAGGAAGACTCCCGATGTTTCCTTGTCTCTGGACAGAACCACTGTAGAGGAAGCACTTTCTAGAAAGTCTCCATTGGTCTACCTTGATGAGCCTGGGAGTAGGGCTCTTTTGAGTCTGTAAGAGACTCCGGGTTCAGGTCATCTCTGAATGATCCTCATACTCACCTCTCACTCAAGGAGACCCACCGATTTCCTTGCTGTCCACACTGACCCCTGTGGTGCTCAGTTCTGGGGATGTGCACTGGACCTCACTAAAGCTTGTGCCTGTCTCTTCAGGGCTCTGCAGGAGATGGACCTTGAATGGACTGCCCTGGCCAACTGTTCCAGCCTCAGTCACTGTATGATCTGCTCTGGTTAAATCCTTCTATGCCAGCCAGGGTGGTGATGACCTGTGACCTTCGGGGAGGGGAGCAGGCAGATGCCGGGGATTCTTGGATCCTTGTCTTCTGGCAGAGAAAACAGAACTCCATTTCACAATTTGCAGGCTCATCTTGCCTCACTCTGGTTTGGGAAAGTGACTGTTGCCCTATTGTCTGGCCAGCATGGCAGGGACTCTGTTCTCGCCACTTCGTCCAGAGTGTCCCTCTTAAGAGAAAGCCACTGTTCCTTATTGTATGTGCTTGGAAGCTCTTGACATCTGGGAGAGTGGGTGATGCTGAGACCTACTCCCCCTTGATTGCTCTCTGGAGTGATCAAGAAGTCAATAAACATGAAGCCTGAGCTGGTTGCCATGTTTGTTTCATGCTAGGGGTTGAACTAGGATTATAAGCGCCACTGTACTTGATTTGAGTTTACAGTGTTTAGACAATGCCCAGCGTCTGCAGAGCCCTAGGGAGAGGTTAGTCTCCCTCGTCTGTCTCAGAGCTAGGAGGACTCCTCAGTCTCGGGGAAGAAGGCGCAGGCTTGATGGTCTTGAAGCTTGGAAGAGCCAGGCAGGGGCCGGGTCTGCAGGGGTGTGAAACATTTGCCTGGAGATCCACTGGGCTCAGGGCCTTCTTGTGAGTAAGACTGGCTGAACCTTTGTCTGGCCCACTGTTGAGATGTCCCCCAGGAATGAAGGGAAGTGAGGCCTTCTCTGGTGATACGACCTCCTGAACAGTGGGTCTTGACGTGGTGATAAATTAACATTAATTGGGGGTTACTATCCCACCTTTGATTGTTAGGAGCTGCGTTGGCCATTGCAACATGGCGCCGGTTTCCTGCTTCCTGGTTCTTCTTGAGAGCCTTGCTTGAATGTGCGCCTGCGCAAGGCGCGAAAACCAGTATGCTAATTGGCGATGTCGTAAGAGCCAATGAGTGTGTGGCACGTCTCCTAGGGCTCTATATAAGCCACAGGTTTTTCGGGCTAGGCGTCCCTCGCTTCACTGCTATCTAGAGAGCTGTACAATAAATTGCTGTCAGAAGAATCCTGAGTGTGGCGTTCTCCTTATCGGCGAGGCTGCGCACTGCATTTGATCAGCACATTTATAGTCAGCCTTAGCAGCACTAGAGCTGGGCGGGTTCCAGCCCGCTATGCTATGTCTACTTTCTGTCAATAACCCCGAGTTACAATTTGCCATGTTCTCCTTGGGCTGCTCTCCTTCCAATGGCCAGCCCTCATGGCCGTGTTTTCATGATTCACCTACCCCGTGGTAACTTCTCCTCTCTCTTCCTTCTCTCCCTTCCTCGTGGTCTCTGCCTCACACACTATGCCCAGGAACCGAAACCCAACCTACCTCTCCCTCTCTCTTCTGTCCCGCTACAGGCTGTTGGCATCTTTATTTCAACCAATAGTTTAAACTTAAGGAGCATGGTCACAAAGCATCACTTGGGGTAAGTGAGGATTCTTTCATCCCTGAGGCAACCAGACCGTGGGAGCCAGCATTTAGCATTACAACAGGCCACACCTCAACAGGGGCTGCCATTCTGGATGTCCTCAGTGTTCCCAGTCTTGATGGGGCGGGGAGGGGGATTCATGTCTTGGGATTTCTATATTGAGGGAAAAGTAAGTGGACCTTGGCTGCAGAGCCTCTGGACCCCTCTTCAACCTCCAGCAAACTGACCACATACACAGATGCTCCTCTCCTAAAATCACTGTTAGTGTCAACAATGAAACCTCCTTGTACATTGATGTTCATACTCTCATGATTGTCCTAATTGACTCCCTAAATGGCAACTGTTGGGCTCTTTCTTGCTACCCTGGCTACCTTGAGCAAAAGGCCAGACGAATAGCCAGCCAGACTACCCTTAATAGCAGCACTGGCTACCTTGAACATTCTGTGGATGTTGGAGCAGACTCCACAGGGATCGAAGCAGGTTGCCTCAGGCTCTCGAAGGCACAGCTTCAGCTAAGGCTGTCTGAAACATTTTTTTCTACCACACACCTCTGGATCCTAGATGATCTTGCAACTGTCTCTACCCAGGCCAGAGAAGAACCTAGCAGAAGAACTGCTGTGATGGGCTTTAAAAACAAAACAACATAACAACAACAACAACAACAACAACAACAACAAAAATCAGGCTGTAGACAGGCAATGCACATCTTTAATCCCAGCACTTGGGAAGCAGAGTTAGGTGGATCTCTTGAGTTTGAGGCTAACCTGGTCTACAGAGTGAGTTCCAGGACAGCCAGGGCTACACAGAGAAACCCTGTCTCGGAAAAACCAAAAAAAGAAACAAAGAAAAGAAACAAGTGATTGGTGCAGGAACAAATTATCATTTGCATGGGAGGTGTGCTATGATTGGTGCAAACACTTCCTTACACTCACTGACTGTGCTGTTTTAGTCTTGCTACATCAGGGTTTTCTCAGTGTCTTGTCTTGCTCACTGTCAGCTCAACCAGAGCTGGCAACAGGAAGACAAAGTGGCCAAAATAGTGAAGCAAAGGCAGAGGGGCTAAAGTGGCCGACAACAGGAGGGAGGGATCTAGCTGTAGCTGTCTCTGGAAGGGCAGAATCCCTCTCAAAAGAAAGACGGCAGTCACAAGAACTAGTGGTAGCTGAGAAACTGTGGGAACTAGTGAGAGCAGAGGCAAGAAAGGGCAGGGTTGTGGTCGCCTTGTGCACTGTGTATTCAGATGCTGCGTTCTGTGCCCCGAGATCAGGTTGCAGTCTGGACATGGACATTATATATTGACTAATGTACTGTAAAGAATGTTTCCAAATAATCTCGGATTGGACAATAAAAGGCTGGAGCCTGTGAGTGAGTGGGCGGGAGAGAGGAAGGCGGGACTTGAGGTGGAGTGGGGTGGGGGGTCTCAGGTAGGGACCACGAGGAGCACAGAGGAGGTGGAAGAAGGTTGCCATGAGGCAGGATGGACCATGAGCAAGTGGCCAAGGGAAAATTCCCCTGAGGAGTGGAGCAAGCTGGGTGACACTCAAGTGGCACGGGGCCTGTGCCTGGGATGTAGGTTAGGATAGCTCAGAATCTGCCCAGTTTATGCTTGCAGCTTGTTCATACATACATACATACATACATACATATGTATGTATTAACATATGTAAAAGAATAAAAAATAAAAAAAAGTTGCTGTGTCTTTTAATTCAGGAGCTATCTGGGCTAGAGTGGGAACTTCTGCCCCACGTAAAATTACTTCTATAGGACAGTCCTTGGAGGCTGAAGGATAGAAGGCTGTAAAGAGCTAGACAGGAGAGACTGAAGGAGGAGTTGGAGAAAGCTAAGGCTGGGGCCATGGATTTCAGACACTCCTAGGGGCTGTAACACAGGCTACAGTCAAAGCAGAGTGGCCCTGAACCAAGAGACAGAGGAATCACAACTTCCCGAGGCCTAACCACGAGGTAACACTAGATGGCGCCAGGCGTTCACATTACACAGCTGTCAACTGCTGCGCAACAACAACCCTTGAAGAGCTAACTGGCTGCTTTCTCATAATTTCTGTCCATTTCTATACCCTTAGAGCAAAAGGATTCAGGCCAGTGAATTGGTAACAGCATGTCATCCTTAGAGCATGGTCTCCTGAGCCTGAATCTAGATCTCTTGCTCCTTGTGTTGACAGTCATCTGCCAGTCCTTGGGGACATTGTTGGAGGAATAGCTGGACTGGGCCACGGAGTGGTCAGCTGTGGAGCCCTTTGGATATGCTCAGCCCTCCCTATGGTGTGGAAGGGTATCCATGCCTACATGGATGGAGCTATGAAACGAGAAGGCAGGGGGAAGTCCTTTTCTGTGAGATCTTTTCATATACCTACTCTAACCCTAATCTAAAGATCACTAGTCCTTCTCTGAGCTGCTGCTGCAAGCCTGGAAGACGTGCTGCGCAGTTAGGAGTCGGACTGGGCCAGATGTGGTAGCACAGGCCTTTAATCTTAGCACTTGGGAAGCAGGCAGATCTCTGAGTTCAAGGCCCGCCTGGTCTACAAAAGGGCATTCCAAACCAGCCAGGGCCGCACAGTGAGACCTTGTCTCAAAAAACGACAGCAGCAGCCGGGCAGTGGTAGCGCACGCCTTTAATCCCAGCACTTGGGAGGCAGAGACAGGCAGATTTCTGAGTTCGAGGCCAGTCTGGTCTACAGAGTGAGTTCCAGGAGTGACTACACAGGGAAACTCTGTCTCAAACAAAACAAAACAAAACAAAAACAAACAAACCAAAAAACCAACAGCAGCCACAAAGCCTAGATGATCTGGGCCATATTGTAAGAAACAATTCAGTTCCCAATTACAGATCCTGAGAACCTGGCTCCAGGCCTTGACGAAGCAGACACAGAAGCCAATCAGTGGCCTTCTGGGCTAGTTCCTCCAAGAAGGTGCAAGAGAAAACTGGGGGCACCTGGAAGGTGGCTGACTGGAGTTGTACTTCATGACCCCTGGAAAGCACCCCTTGCAGCCACAAGCAGGCTCCATATTGACCTGGGACCATGCCTGTGACTATGTCTACCCAAGGGAACTTTTGCTTGTCTCCCTCCTATCCTGACTTGGTCTGCCCCATGACCTGTCTATTACAGTGCAGTGTCCCCCAGGCACCAGGAATGAGACCCCAGTCTCTGGCTATTGGGGACATGGAAACCTTTGGATTCACCTTTGGTTCATGGAATATAGAACGTGAGGTGCTCAGGTTCCATGGTAGATGCTTGTCACTGCTGCCATCTTCTGTCCTCTTATTGCTAGAAGCCAAGTGGGGGCTGGGATCTCTTTTAGTAAAGCAGGGAGGTTCCGGTGGCTGGACCCCTGTCAAGGGTAGGGAAGGAGGAGAGAAAGCCCCTAAATCCCTCTAGCTATCAGCATTTTCCCACCCTGCCTCCAGAGTGGGCTCTTGTCTGCCGTCCTTTCCCGTCATGGTGAACTCAACAGAACTCTTTGGGGCTGGGTAGATGGAGCAGGTCTCTCTTAAGGGCCCCTCCCAAGGATGCAGCCATATCCGGCCTCCAAAGTGGAAAAACCTCATACAAATCAAGGACATCTGGGCCCACCCTCTGGCCATAGCCCCGCCCCATCATTCCCTTCCCAGGCTTGGGTTCTGCAGGCTGCAAGAATGGGTCTGGGGGTGAAGGGTGTGGCTTTAGGGGAGGAGCTCTGAGGGCTCTCGCATATGTTTAATGCCTCCAGCAGCCCCCCACAGAGGGAGGAACTGAACAGTGTTATTAATCATCTTCCAGAGAGGGACAGCCCTGTGCATGCCTGCCCTGCTGCTGTGGAGGCCCAGGCTGGGAGTACCCACTGTGAAGAGAGGTCAGACTGAAAAAGAAGCAGAAAAATCAGACTCAGACAGACAGATCCACACAGTCACATTAAAAACACCCACTGGTGTCCGCCATTCTTAGGTTTGGAGTCCCCAAAGGCGTTCACACTAAGCTCATTCCTGAATTTTGGAACTGATTGTGAGGTCAAGATAAATGGAGGCCAAAATTACCTACGAAAGCAGGGTCGGGGTGAGCTCAATAGCTCAGTGAACACGGTTAACACGGGCAAAGCCCACTCCTAGCGCTGGATAACATGTCACACACAAAGAACCAGTTAGTCTCTGGTGGGAGCATGGGCAGAGCTAGGTGGCTGGTATTTCCATCTGTCCATGTCTGCGCTGGTGGTATGCTCTACCCTTCCCTCGGGGTATGTCTATGGTTCTGCATCCTGGACCTCTCCCTTCCATCCACTACACCAAACTTAACTACACATATGCTGGCAGGCCCATGTCTCAGAGATTGCCTACCATGTGCCTGCTGTCTTGCCTAGGCAAATCCAGTGAATTCTGGATTCCCTCCAGCTTGGGCTGTATAGGATCTCTATCCACCCCACTCCTTGAGCCTTTTTGTTTTGCTTCATTTTATTTGTTTATTTTTGAGACAGGGTCTCATGTTAGCCAGGCTAGCTTCAGATTTGCTAATGTAGCTGAGATGACCTTGACTCCTGGTTCCCACTTCTACTTTATTTATATAGGCGTGCACCACTGCGTCCCATTTGTATGGTACTGGGAA